GGAGGCGATGCAGGGCCAGGCTACGAAGACGAAGGGTCGCTCTAATTTTAGACCTTCGGCTTGATGAACCTCATGATGAAAATGGCAGTTTGAGTAGAAATGGATCCTAGCTACCATGCAATGATTTCCCACCACTTCACCGGTGGGTAGGTCAGTCTTTTCTGTGGATGCTGCAAAGATCTCCACCTTCCATACCAGTTCTTATCACCATCTTCTCCTGCGCTGATCTATGAATCCCTTCCAAATCCCACCACAAGGGACAGCCGGAAATTGCACCAGGACTGTCCACCAATCAGTGATGAGGACTGCTCCCCCCCCATAGTGCAGGTGACGTGGCACAGCGAAGATTTATGTGGAAGAAATATCTCTTCATTATAATGAACAACACATTTCAGGATGGAGACCCGGATAAACCTGGAACCCTCACGAAGAGTGGAGCGTTCTCCCCGCCATCGGCAAGGTGTATATTATGTGAATAATGGCAGTTGTACTGAGTCCGTGGCACATTCAGCCTTAAATAAAGAAAATGACATCCTAAAGCCGGCTTTATCTCATGGTTTATGCATGTCCACCATTGGACGGCAGAAATCAGCCAATAGCACAGCTTGTACATCCCAACATGTGGCTGCTGGGACACCGTATGGGTACACCACCTCCATGGCAGGGCTTCCAATGACAATACGGGAGGTCCTCCAACAGCTCAGAAATGGGTTGTCACAACAAGCTTTACTGGTGTCATAGAAGGTCCAACAGACATTCTCTCTCGTCAGATGTGACACATTTCAGCCAATGGGCTTAATCATGTGGGGGGGGACTAAGCCTATTGAGTGAAATGCATCAACATCACACCTGGTGGGAGGAGAATGTCTGTCTGACCCAATAAAGCTTTTTGTGTTTCAGAAAAAAATACAGTGTAGCTTATGTGGCTGTAAGAGAAGGAGGAACATGGAGAGCCTGGGCCCCCACGTGGCCGGCTGCTGCATGTCCTTCACTGAAGAGGTGTCATTTATACAGGTTTGCCTCAGTACACAAAATACCTCCAGAATAATCCTTTCCTCAGGGGTGGAGGTGACCCTTAACCTGGAAGTTATGTCCACCCACAGTCCATTCAGTGGCAGTCCTTTGTTAGACCCCAGGCTGGCCTCACACCTATACGTTGCAGTAAAAAGTGCATGGCCCTGTATAACGTGGTTCCATCAACAGGTGACAGACCTGCACAGGCCACGTCTTGTTCTTCAGATCTGGTCCTTCAGATCTGGTCCTTCAGATCTGGTCCTTTAGGTCTGGTCCTTCAGATCTGGTCATTTAGGTCTGGTCCTTCAGATCTGGTCCTTTAGGTCTGGTCCTTCAGATCTGGTCCTTTAGGTCTGGTCCTTCAGATCTGGTCCTTTAGGTCTGGTCCTTCAGATCTGGTCCTTTAGGTCTGGTCCTTCAGATCTGGTCCTTTAGGTCTGGTCCTTCAGATCTGGTCCTTTAGGTCTGGTCCTTCAGATCTCGTCCTTCAGATCTGGTCCTTTAGGTCTGGTCCTTCAGATCTGGTCCTTCAGATCTGGTCCTTCAGGTCTGGTCCTTCAGATCTGGTCATTTAGGTCTGGTCCTTCAGATCTGGTCCTTTAGGTCTGGTCCTTCAGATCTGGTCATTTAGGTCTGGTCCTTCAGATCTGGTCATTTAGGTCTGGTCCTTCAGATCTGGTCATTTAGGTCTGGTCCTTCAGATCTGGTCCTTTAGGTCTGGTCCTTCAGATCTGGTCCTTTAGGTCTGGTCCTTCAGATCTGGTCCTTTAGGTCTGGTCCTTCAGATCTGGTCCTTTAGGTCTGGTCCTTCTCCTGTTACCCCCGTGTTGGCATCCCATCCAAAATAAATGCAACAATGTGTGAAATACCACAGGTTCAGAATTTATCTATAACCCCCCCCCCCCCCAACCTCCCTCCATAAATACACTAATCCAGACCATTCACCCATCCCCGGATGCGGTGTAGACAATGCTGCTCACTTTGGAGGAGGCAAGTAGGCCCACACAGGGGATGGATGGTTCAGCGTAGGTTTAAATAAATGCCGACTTGTCCTTTAAGGCTAATGTCCAGGATGCCCCTTAACCAACTGATCACTGACAGAAAAAAAGCCCTAAATATCCCCCCCCAAGAGTTGGTGGTGCGGTGTGGAAGAAACACAACACTAAAGTAAGCCAAAAAAGTCCACTAGGGTGTGCCATATGGTCCCCTCTGTGTGTGTTTTTTTTCCCTCACTGGAGGATGTGGGTCCTCAGGCCTGACCTGACGTCTAGAGCAGTGATTCTCAACCTGTGGGTCGCGACCCCTTTGGGGGTCAAGTGACCCTTTCACAGGGGTCGCCTAAGACCATCGGAAAACACATATTTCCGATGTGTAAAGAGCAGCTACTGTGTAGAAAGCAACATGAGGAACTGTATTAAAGGGTTGCGCCATTAGTAAGGTTGAGAACCACTGGTCTAGAGGAAGGATATATGGCTCTTAGGTTCCTTCCTCCCCCGATCCCTTTGGGGTGGGGGGGTTCTCTCTTTGGGAGAATCCCTTGATCAAGTACTTGATGGTTGACTTCGGCTGATCACAAGGTGTCCGTCAGGCCTTTTGGCTAGGTGGACCAGGTCAGGAACCTTGTGACCCAGGGAATCAACGTATAGGTCCTGCCCCTTCAGGGGGTGGACTAAAAGCACACCCCTAATTGCAATTTTTTGTGTTGGTATTTTCACGTTTGCACCTTTTTTGTACACTTAATTGGGATTACACTTTTCCGCAGAAACAGAAAAAAAAAAAGAACCCTTCTCTGAACCCCCAGGACAAAAGACTCTTGACTGGGGGTAAGGCACACCTAGGTCTGCCTAGACATAAGCCCCACTGGACACCACTCCTCATGATCAGCCGAAGACAATTGATCAGTACTGAGTGGCAGGCTCTCCAGAAGAGACCCCCAAGCGGGGGGGGGGGGGGGGATACCCTAAGGGCCACATTCATCCTTTAGACCTCAGGGCAGGCCCAAAGAACCACACTCTACCATCTGTTGGTGGTGAGAAACCACACAGAGTGCAGGGAGGAACCCATGGAGAGCAAATAACTAACAAAGGTACCACTGTAGATACAATGGTGGGCCTCGCAGGCTGGTAACAAACATTGCCCCGGTCTTGGCCAAAAGGCTTAGCCCATGGGAACTTCTACAGAAAAAATTCAAGTCTAGTGCCTGTTCTCACAGTGGGGTTCCACATCATTAGTGATACTAGGAGCACCCCCAGGTAATATTTGGTCGGAGATGGTATTTAATGTGAACCAGAACTGAATGCCAGTGAGGGGGTGTGGGGAACATGTAAAGGACTGGAAGAATACCTGGAGGCCTGCCCACTGACTGGCCAATGGCATATATATAGGTCAGAGTGACTCCAGGGTCATGGTACATATACAAGTTGGCGTGTACAGTGTGCAGTCATGAAGCCCATACATCGTGCTCTCACCACACCAAACGTCTATTGTCGGCAAGTGACCAGCTATGGTGGCTTCATAAGTGCCAAGCTAAGGACGAGTGAATGCCAGTATGTGGCACCATCCACCGACACAGATCACCCCGAGTGCCCCCTACACACACATCGTTACTGCAGATTTATGACTCCATCACAAGAGACAAATCATCCAAACAGCAAAAATAAACATTTTATTTCCATGTTTTGTCCTCTTCTGACTGGGATCTTTACTGATGGTCTTCATGCTGGGGGGTCTTTGGTAGTCAGAGAGATACCACAGGCAGGGATCCAAAGGGACAACATTGTTATGCAGTCTTGGAAGGGACACATTTGGGTCTAACAAGGCTCAGAGATGGCGGAACCAGGGGAGAAGGTGAGCACCAAAGAGACAATGGGACCTAGGGGATGAGACTCAGAGATGGTGAGACCTGGGGGATAAGAGTCTGAGAGACGGTGGGACCTGGGGGGTGAGAGTCTGAGAGACGGTGGGACCTGGGGGGTGAGAGTCTGAGAGACGGTGGGACCTGGGGGGTGAGAGTCTGAGAGACGGTGGGACCTGGGGGGGTGAGAGTCTGAGAGACGGTGGGACCTGGGGGGTGAGAGTGAGAGATGGTGGGACCTGGGGGCTGAGAGATGGTGGGTCCTGGGGGCTTAGAGTGAGAGATGTTGGTACCTGGGAGTGAGAGATGGTGGGTCCTCGGGGCTTAGAGTGAGAGATGTTGGTACCTGGGGGCTGGGAGTGAGAGATGGTGGGTCCTGGGGGCTGGGAGAGAGAGATGGTGGGGGACCTGGGGGCTGAAAGTGAGAGATGGTGGGACCTGGGGCTGAAAGTGAGAGATGGTGGGACCTGGCGGCTGGGAGTGAGAGATGGTGGGACCTGGGGGCTGAGAGTGAGAGATGGCGGAACCTGGGGGCTGAGAGATGGTGGGACCTGGGGGCTGAAGTGAGATGGTGGGACCTGGGGGCTGAAAGTGAGAGATGGTGGGTCCTGGGGGCTGAGAGTGAGAGATGGTGGGACTGGGGGCTGAGAGTGAGAGATGGTGGGACCTGGGGGCTGAGAGTGAGATATGGTGGGTCCTGGGGGCTGAGAGATGGTGGGTCCTGGGGCTGAGCTGAGAGATGGTGGGTCCTGGGGGCTGAGAGATGAGAGATGGTGGGGTCCTGCGGGCTGAGAGAGATGGTGGGTCCTGCGGGCTGAGAGATGGTGGGTCCTGGGGGCTGAGAGATGGTGGGTCCTGCGGGCTGAGAGATGGTGGGTCCTGGGGCTGAGAGATGGTGGGTCCTGGGGGCTGAGAGATGGTGGGTCCTGCGGGCTGAGAGACGGTGGGTCATGGGGGGCTGAGAGACGGTGGGTCCTGGGGGCTGAGAGATGGTGGGACATGCAGATAAGTGTCCGGGGATGCCATGTACAATGTCCAGGGGTGCAATGTCTGGGGGTGATGTGTGATGATGATGTCCGGTGGTGTGACATGCAGATGAGGATGATGCCCGAGGAGCGGATGAAGATGAGGCTCACATGTTGGGATAATTCTCCAGGCTGTAGGGAACAGGTTGGTCCAGATACTGGGATATCGGTGTAGAGAAAGCGGAACTCTTTTTGAAGGGAGTGTCCCGGCTCCGGATGTCAGATACCCCCTACATATGAGAAAACAGGACATGACTGTCTGGATGGGACTCGTCAGCGACACCCCCAGCCTGTCTGCTACATTAAATTACATCCAAAAGCAAAGAAAGTTGTGTGTTTAGTTTTGGGTGGAGAGGGATATTAATAGGGAAATCCTCAGACATTCCTCACCTGGTCAGGTGTCCCCATTGGAGGATTTTCCCTCTATTCCTGTTATGATGACAGAACAAAAATGTGGATTTCCCCCTCACTTCCTGTCATGGTGACAACGGGGCAATAGAGAGGCTCACTGTTCCCATCTCATCCACCCAAAAGTGTCAATTACATCATCAAGTCCAGTTGGTTGAGTGGAGGATCCTGATGTTACTGGGGAAGGGGAGGGGGGGGGGGGGGTCTCCCCATACAGACGCTGCCATCAACCGGTCACATGACACCAATGTCATGAATAAAATCTTACCGTGACACCTACGCAGGTTCTCTGTCCAGAAGGTGACGGCCTGATCCGTACAATAATCGTGACTCTGAAATATATCTGAGGATCCCCCAGTCAGCTGAGGTCAACATTTTCAGAGATCCATCCACCATCCCTTTCCCCCACCATCCCCCCATTCAATTCTTTGCCCCATCCACTTCCCCCACCCAATTCACACCCATCTCATCTCATCCCCCCCCATCCCCCATACAATCCCATCCCCAATCTGCCATCCCCATCCCACCAATTCACATCCCAACCTCCATCAATTCCCATCTGCCATCCCATCCATATCCACCATCCCCCTTCCATCCACCATTCCATCCAATCCACTGTTGCCATCCCATCCACCATCCTCCATCCCATCCCATCCCATCCACCATCCCCCATCCCCCCATCCCATCCACCATGCTATCCCTATCCTTGCCCATCCCATCCCCTATCATCCTATCCAATCCCATCCCCCAACCCCCATTCCCCCATCCACCCTGCCATCCCATCCATCCCATCCCCTCCCATCCATCCCATCCCATCCACCATATCCCCATCCCATCCACCATTGCCTATCCACCCCATCCCTTCCCATCCCATCCACATGCCATCTATCCCCCATCCTGCCATCCCATCCCATCCTAACCATTGTATCCCTGTTGTGTGATGGCCCATCCTATACCTGTCCATTGCCATCCCATCTCCATCCTCCATCCTATCCACCATTGCCATCCCCATCCCATCCTCCAATCCTATCCACCATTGCCATTACCCATCCCCCATCCAATGCCATCCCATCCACCATTGCCCATCACCATCCCATATCCATCCATATCTCATCCTTGGGTGGTACCTTGTGGGGAGTGGTGTCCGTGGTACAAAGCCACCAATGTGGAAATCTCTCTTAGTGGTGGACTCCATTCCCCCGACTTCCTCCACTGAAGATCTCGGAGCTTCAGAAACGTCCTGGCTGAGAACACAAAGAAAACCCCCAACAGTCCTATATACAGTGTGTGTGATGGAGTATAATACCTTGTATACAGTGTGTGATGGAGTATATACCTTCGTATACAGTGTGTGATGGAGTATATACCTTGTATACAGTGTGTGTGATGGAGTATATACCTTGTATACAGTGTGTGTGTGATGGAGTATATACCTTGTATACAGTGTGATGGAGTATGTGATGGAGTATATACCTTGTATACAGTGTGATGGAGTATATACCTTGTATACAGTGTGATGGAGTATATATATACCTTGTATAACAGTGTGATGGAGTATATACCTTGATATATACCTTGTATACAGTGTGATGGAGTATTATACCTTGTATACAGTGTGATGGAGTGGAGTATATACCCTTGTATACAGTGTGATGGAGTATATACCTTGTATACAGTGTGTGTGATGGAGTATATACCTTGTATACAGTGTGTGATGGAGTATATACCTTGTATACAGTGTGATGGAGTATATACCTTGTATACAGTGTGATGGAGTATATACCTTGTATACAGTGTGATGGAGTATATACCTTGTATACAGTGTGATGGAGTATATACCTTGTATACAGTGTGTGATGGAGTATATACCTTGTACCAGTGTGTGATGTATACAGTGTGATGGAGTATATACCATTGTATACAGTGTGATGGAGTATATATACCTTGTATACAGTGTGATGGAGTATATACCTTGTATACAGTGTGTGATGGAGTATATACCTTGTATACAGTGTGTGTGATGGGAGTATATACCTTGTATACATGGAGTATATACCTTGTATACAGTGTGATGGAGTATATACCTTGTATACAGTGTGTGATGGAGTATATACCTTGTATACCTGTGTATACAGTGTATACTGTGTGATGGAGTATATACCTCAGTGTGTGTGATGGAGTATATACAGTGTGTGATGATGGAGTATATACCTTGTATACAGTGTGTGATGGAGTATATACCTTGTATACAGTGTGATGGAGTGGATATACCTTGTATACAGTGTGATGGAGTATATACCTTGTATACAGTGTGTGATGGAGTATATACCTTGTATACAGTGTGTGATGGAGTATATACCTTGTATACAGTGTGTGATGGAGTATATACCTTGTATACAGTGTGATGGAGTATATACCCTGTGTATACAGTATATACAGTGTGATGGAGTATATACCTTGTATACAGTGTGTGATGGAGTATATACCTTGTATACAGTGTGTGATGGAGTATATACCTTGTATACAGTGTGATGGAGTATATACCTTGTATACATTGTGTGTGATGGAGTATATACCCTTGTATACAGTGTGTGATGGAGTATATACCTTGTATACAGTGTGATGGAGTATATACCTTGTATACAGTGTGTGATGGAGTATATACCTTGTATACAGTGTGATGGAGTATATACCTTGTATACAGTGTGATGGAGTATATACCTTGTATACAGTGTGTGATGGAGTATATACCTTGTATACAGCAGTGTGTGTGATGGAGTATATACCTTGTATACAGTGTGATGGAGTATATACCTCGTATACAGTGTGATGATGGAGTATATACCTTGTATACAGTGTGTGTGATGGAGTATATACCTTGTATACAGTGTGTGATGGAGTATATACCTTGTATACAGTGTGTGTGATGGAGTATATACCTTGTATACAGCGTGTGATGGAGTATATACCTTGTATACAGTGTGTGATGGAGTATATATATACCTTGTATATACAGTGTGTGATGGAGTATATACCTTGTATACAGTGTGTGTGATGGAGTATATACCTTGTATACAGTGTGTGTGATGGAGTATATACCTTGTATACAGTGTGATGGAGTATATACCTTGTATACAGTGTGATGGAGTATATACCTTGTATACAGTGTGTGATGGAGTATATACCCTTGTATACAGTGTGATGGAGTATATACCTTGTATACAGTGTGTGTAGTATATACCAGTATACAGTGTGATGGAGTATATACCTTGTATACAGTGTGTGATGGAGTATATACCTTGTATACAGTGTGTGATGGAGTATATACCTTGTATACAGTGTGATGGAGTATATACCTTGTATACAGTGTGATGGAGTATATACCTTGTATACAGTGTGATGGAGTATATACCTTGTATACAGTGTGATGGAGTATATACCTTGTATACAGTGTATGGAGTATATACCTTGTATACAGTGTGATGGAGTATATACCTTGTATATACAGTGTGTGTGGAGTATATACCTTGTATACAGTGTGATGGAGTATATACCTTGTATACAGTGTGATGGAGTATATACCTTGTATACAGTGTGATGGAGTATATACCTTGTATACAGTGTATGTGTGATGGGAGTATATATATACCTTGTATACAGTGTGATGGAGTATATACCTTGTATACAGTGTGTGATGGAGTATATACCTTGTATACAGTGTGTGATGGAGTATATACCTTGTATACAGTGTGTGATGGAGTATATACCTTGTATACAGTGTGATGGAGTATATACCTTCGTATACAGTGTGATGGAGTATATACCTTGTATACAGTGTGTGTGATGGAGTATATACCTTGTATACAGTGTGTGTGATGGAGTATATACCTTGTATACAGTGTGATGGGAGTATATACCTTGTATACAGTGTGTGATGGAGTATATACCTTGTATACAGTGTGTGTGATGGAGTATATACCTTGTATACAGTGTGATGGAGTGATATATACCTTGTATACAGTGTGATGGAGTATATACCTTGTATACAGTGTGATGGAGTATATACCTTGTATACAGTGTGTGATGGAGTATATACCTTGTATACAGTGTGATGAGAGTAGTATATACCTTGTATACAGTGTGATGGAGTATATACCTTGTATACAGTGTGATGGAGTATATACCTTGTATACATGTGTGATGGAGTATATACCTTGTATACAGTGTGATGGAGTATATACCTTGTATACAGTGTGATGGAGTATATACCTTGTATACAGTGTGTGATGGAGTATATACCTTGTATACAGTACAGTGTGTGATGGAGTATATACCTTGTATATACCTTGTACAGTGTGATGGAGTATATACCTTGTATACAGTGTGATGGAGTATATACCTTGTATACAGTGTGATGGAGTATATACCTTGTATACAGTGTGTGTGATGGAGTATATACCTTGTATACAGTGTGTGATGGAGTATATACCTTGTATACAGTGTGATGGAGTATATACCTTGTATACAGTGTGTGATGGAGTATATACCTTGTATACAGTGTGATGGAGTATATACCTTGTATACAGTGTGTGATGGAGTATATACCTCGTGTGATGGAGTATACTTGTATACAGATTTGTATACGTCTATGGGGGTCAGGAAGACAGATTGGGCCGAGTATACAATACAATGTGGGTACACCGGCTCCCCATCTTCGGGGGGAGGTAACAATGTGGCCCAGATGTGGAGCAGTCTAGAGGGGGGGGGGGGCGCCCCGTCTCCTCTGACCCACACATACAAAGAGCCGATTGTCCCAGTCCTGGCCAGTTAATGGGAAGCAGACCTGCAGGCTCCGCTCAGACGTTCCCGGAAGAGGGGGGTGCTGCACTTTCCACAAGCCCGGCTGGGGATGAGCTGTGCACAGTGTGGTCTGTCACATAGACATGGAGACCTATCAACCCTTCTCTGTGTGACAAAGAGGACCCCCCCTCTGCAATACGGCCCCCCAGACCAGGGACCATCCAGTCCACGGAGTGTCTGCAACCACCACTGACCGCCCAGCCACCACCCACAGGGCTAGTCCTCTCACTGGGGGAACAACGGGCCAAGGACGGAAAAATTCCACCATGAATCAGAGACCACACAAGACCAGATAACCACCGACCAATCAACAGGAACCCGGAATGACTGCAGTGATTTGACATCTATGGGGGTCCGACAGTCAGGGGGGGTCATATAGGGGAGGGGTGATCTGATGTCTATGGGGGTCACACACAGTCAGGGGGGGTCATATAGGGGAGGGGTGATCTGACGTCTATGGGGGTCACACAGACACAGTCAGGGGGGTCATATAGGGGAGGGGTGATCTGACGTCTATGGGGGTCACACAGACACAGTCAGGGGGGGTCATATAGGGGAGGGGTGATGTGAAGTCTATGGGGGTCACACAGACACAGTCGGGGGGGGGTCATATAGGGGAGGGGTGATCTGAAGTCTATGGGGGTCACACAGACACAGTCGGGGGGGGGGGGTCATATAGGGGAGGGGTGATCTGATGTCTATGGGGGTCACACACAGTCAGGGGGGTCATATAGGGGAGGGGTGATCTGACATCTATGGGGGTCACACAGACACAGTCAGGGGGGTCATATAGGGGAGGGGTGATCTGACGTCTATGGGGGTCACACACCAGTCAGGGGGGGGTCATATAGGGGAGGGGTGATCTGACGTCTATGGGGGTCACACAGACACAGTCAGGGGGGTCATATAGGGGAGGGGTGATCTGATGTCTATGGGGGTCACACAGACACAGTCAGGGGGGGTCATATAGGGGAGGGGTGATCTGATGTCTATGGGGGTCACACAGTCAGGGGGGTCATATAGGGGAGGGGTGATCTGATGTCTATGGGGGTCACACACAGTCAGGGGGGGTCATATAGGGGAGGGGTGATCTGACGTCTATGGGGTCACACAGACACAGTCAGGGGGGGGTCATATAGGGGAGGGGTGATCTGACGTCTATGGGGGTCACACAGACACAGTCAGGGGGGGTCATATAGGGGAGGGGTGATGTGAAGTCTATGGGGGTCACACAGACACAGTCGGGGGGGGTCATATAGGGGAGGGGTGATCTGAAGTCTATGGGGTCACACAGACACAGTCGGGGGGGGGGGTCATATAGGGGAGGGGTGATCTGATGTCTATGGGGGTCACACACACAGTCAGGGGGGGTCATATAGGGGGGGGGATCTGACGTCTATGGGGGTCACACACAGTCAGGGGGGGTCATATAGGGGAGGGGTGATCTGACATCTATGGGGGTCACACAGACACAGTCAGGGGGGTCATATAGGGGAGGGGTGATCTGACGTCTATGGGGGTCACACAGACACAGTCAGGGGGGGTCATATAGGGGAGGGGGGATCTGACGTCTATGGGGGTCACACAGACACAGTCAGGGGGGTCATATAGGGGAGGGGTGATCTGACGTCTATGGGGGTCACACAGACACAGTCAGGGGGGGTCATATAGGGGAGGGGTGATCTGACGTCTATGGGGTCACACAGACACAGTCAGGGGGGGTCATATAGGGGAGGGGTGATCTGATGTCTATGGGGGTCACACAGACACAGTCAGATTTGCCGGGGGGGGGGGTCATATAGGGGAGGGGTGATCTGATGTCTATGGGGGTCACACAGACACAGTCAGGGGGGGGGTCATATAGGGGAGGGGTGATCTGACGTCTATGGGGGTCACACAGACAGTCAGGGATGGGGGGGGGGTCATATAGGGGAGGGGTGATCTGACTTCTATGGGAGTCACACAGACACAGTCAGGGGGGGTCATATAGGGGAGGGGTGATCTGACGTCTATGGGGGTCACACAGACACAGTCAGGGGGGGTCATATAGGGGAGGGGTGATCTGACGTCTATGGGGGTCACACAGACACAGTCAGGGGGGGTCATATAGGGGAGGGGTGATCTGACTTCTATGGGGGTCACACAGACACAGTCAGGGGGGGGTCATATAGGGGAGGGGTGATCTGATGTCTATGGGGGTCACACAGACACAGTCAGGGGGGGTCATATAGGGGAGGGGTGATCTGATGTCTATGGGGGTCACACACAGTCAGGGGGGGTCATATAGGGGAGGGGTGATCTGACGTCTATGGGGGGTCACACAGACACAGTCAGGGGGGGTCATATAGGGGAGGGGTGATCTGAAGTCTATGGGGGTCACACAGACACAGTCAGGGGGGGGTTATATAGGGGAGGGGTGATCTGATGTCTATGGGGGTCACACAGACACAGTCAGGGGGGTCATACAGGGGAGGGGTGATCTGATGTCTATGGGGGTCACACAGACACAGTCAGGGGGGGTCATATAGGGGAGGGGTGATCTGATGTCTATGGGGGTCACACAGACACAGTCAGGGGGGGTTATATAGGGGAGGGGTGATCTGATGTCTATGGGGGTCACACAGACACAGTCAGGGGGGGGGTCATATAGGGGAGGGGTGATCTGATGTCTATGGGGGTCACACAGACACAGTCAGGGGGGTCATATAGGGGAGGGGTGATCTGATGTCTATGGGGGTCACACAGACACAGTCAGGGGGGGTCATCATATAGGGGAGGGGTGATCTGATGTCTATGGGGGTCACACAGACACAGTCAGGGGGGGTCATATAGGGGAGGGGTGATCTGATGTCTATGGGGGTCACACAGACACAGTCAGGGGGGTCATATAGGGGAGGGGTGATCTGATGTCTATGGGGGTCACACAGACACAGTCAGGGGGGTCATACAGGGGAGGGGTGATCTGATGTCTATGGGGGTCACACACAGTCAGGGGGGGTCATATAGGGGAGGGGTGATCTGACGTCTATGGGGGTCACACAGACACAGTCAGGGGGGGGGGTGATCTGACGTCTATGGGGGTCACACAGACACAGTCAGGGGGGGTGATCTGATGTCTATGGGGGTCATACAGGGGAGGGGTGATCTGATGTCTATGGGGTCACACAGACACAGTCAGGGGGGGGGTCATACAGGGGAGGGGTGATCTGACGTCTATGGGGGTCAGGTCTCGGACTTTGCACCCCTCATTATCATACAGAGGGTTGTCCTCTATCTCTATGTAGTTGCATGGGGTGTGGGTGGGAACCTTCCCTCAGAGGGGTCTCCCTTTCTCCCATCTCTTTCCAGTTGACGTCAGGGTGGTCCCTGGTGTGTTTTCTCAGGCTGTCCATCAGTTGGTTAGTAAGGGGTCTTCTCTTCTTCAGTGGGGGTTCTTCATATCTCCCAGTGGTTGCTGTCTGGTCCCCCACAACAGGTGTTTCCTTCAGCACAGTGAGAGTCCACTCTGGGGTAGGTGTCCTGGGTTGGACTCCACTGGACACCGGTTTGATACTGCTGTGCCTTCCCCAGGGACTCTGTCCTACGTCTTCTGTGCTGGATGACACCAAGAGTCTCACACGGTTTTCTGAGAATGGGGTCCTCTCTGCTGGTAACCTCTGGTCAGGAAGGAGAAGTCCATGCCCTCTGGTGAACATTTGGCCCTGCAGTGCAGGTTGTTTGAGGAAGGTCAGCATATCACGGAGCTGTCAGCGGACAGAACACAGGGTCCTCTGCCCCTGAAGAGATCCTCAGACCGGAACAGGAAATGTCTCTATGACTTTAAGGAACCACTGTAGTGTAGGTCCTCTTCCTGGGCTGATCCACATTTTGAGAAACATCCTTTGGGTGCTTTCCCGTTTTTCCTTCAACCAGGTGACTTTTCCTGCTGTACTGCCAAGGATCCCATTCCTCACTCCAAGCATGCTGATCCTTCATGAAATCTGGGAGAATTCCTGGATCTATGGCTGGAGGTCAGGGATAGGCAGGATTGGTCTTTCTCCCGATTTCCTCAGCAGTAATTTCAGTGGTACCTACAGAGAGGATGCATCATCTTCATCGTTGGTTCTACCCGATGGTTTCCATCTCACCAGTCTGAGGCTTGGGTCTCAATCCCATCTCCTGCCCACCTTGTGCTTCCAAAGCACACTACCCTTCAGTCATGTAATCAAATTCTTGAGTTCCTCGAGGAGTCACGTCACGCTCCCTGAATGCTGTTGAGTTCTGTTCCTGGAGTTTCCCTGATAAGTCTCATTTAGTCCGCTTGGTTGTCTGGCCAGACAATCTCTTGACATGGAGTCCTCATTCAGTGACCCTTGGGGTCCGGGCTGTACCTCTTTGGGCCTTTCCTTCAGACTGGACAGTCTTCACTAGGACCTAATTTTTTTGTTTAGGTTCCGCTTGGGACCTGTTCCTCTAAGGGACTTGACTGCTCACCTTGTTGACCTGGTCAGATTGTAGATCACTTCCTCAGCAATTTGGAAAATCATGTTCCATTTTTTATTGGGTTCTGGTTGATCGAATTGATTGAAATTCACTGATTTAGGTCGGTGTTCCTGTGTGGAGTCATCCCCTTCCTTGGCGGAGTCATCCCCTTCCTTGGCGGAGTCATCCCCTTCCTTGGCGGAGTCATCCCCTTCCTTGGTGGAGTCATCCCCCTCCTTGGCGGAGTCATCCCCTTCCTTGGCGGAGTCATCCCCTTCCTTGGCGGAGTCATCCCCTTCCTTGGCGGAGTCATCCCCTTCCTTGGCGGAGTCATCCCCCCCTCCTTGGCGGAGTCATCCCCTTCCTTGGCGGAGTCATCCCCTTCCTTGGCGGAGTCATCCCCCTCCTTGGCGGAGTCATCCCCTTCCTTGGCGGAGTCATCCCCTTCCTTGGCGGAGTCATCCCCTTCCTTGGTGGAGTCATCCCCTTCCTTGGCGGAGTCATCCCCTTCCTTGGCAACAACCTTTTCTTTCTTGGCCTGGAACCTCAGATTGATGCTCCATGTCCTCCCTCTGGTCAGGTTGGAAGGCTCTTCTGTCTGGTCGGGGACTGATTCGAGTGTTGAGCCCTCAGGTGTCCCTCGGTTACAGCCGGTCCCCAGGTCTGCTTTGGGCCCATTAGTGGTTGTCGGTGTGTTGTCACCCCTCAGCTGGAGGATTTATGAAGATCCCAGTCTTGGAATTCCTGTGTCCACCAATGGACCAGAAACAAAATGGCATTTCTGTGCGTAAATCCTTTTCTTGGAGTCCATTGAGGGGCACAAGTCCCTCCTCTCTGCTAGTCCCTCCCCTCTGCTAGTCCTCCCCTCTGCTAGTCCCTTTGTTACTGTTTTCCATCAGACCTGAGGCTGGGTGGGTAGAGGAGGGTTCATATCCTCCTGTAGGGGGCAGTATAATCCATCAGTCTCTGAATTCCTGTGGCCCTCAATGGACTCCAACAAGAGGATTTTACTTCAAGTATTCTATATTAAATTCCCCCCAAAGTGTAAATCCTGTTGGGGAACCCCCCCCCCCCTATATAGAGGGACCGGCACAGATATTTGGGGGACTCAGCCAAGCCAGGGCAGTGTGTATTACCAGATATATGTATGTGGTCAGGTAAAGAGACAGCCAATCAGAAGGCAGAGAAGCATACGGGGACCGCCCATACCTGAACTTGCTGTAGAGGAACTGCCGGATCATCTCCTCCCTCCGACCTGCCGAGAGACGCCACCAAGAGAGATCAACAAGAGTGCGGTCTGTGTGCGTGCGGTCCCCTGTGTGCGGTCTGTGTGCAGATATAGTGTACGGTCCCCTGTGTGCGGTCTGTGTGCAGATATAGTGTACGGTCCCCTGTGTGCGGTCTGTGTGCAGATATAGTGTGCGGTCCCCTGTGTGTGTGCGGTCTGTGTGCGGTCCGTGTGCGGTCTGTGTGCAGATATAGTGTACAGTCCCCTGTGTGCGGTCTGTGTGCAGATATAGTGTGCGGTCCGTGTGCGGTCTGTGTGCAGATATAGTGTACAGTCCCCTGTGTGCGGTCTGTGTGCAGATATAGTGTGCGGTCCCCTGTGTGCGGTCTGTGTGCAGATATAGTGTGCGGTCCCCTGTGTGCGGTCTGTGTGCGGTCTGTGTGCGGTCTGTGTGTGCAGATATAGTGTGCGGTCCCCTGTGTGCGGTCTGCGGTCTGTGTGCGGTCTGTGTGCGGTCCGTGTGCGGTCTGTGTGCAGATATAGTGTGCGGTCCCCTGTGTGCGGTCTGTGTGCGGTCTGTGTGCAGATATAGTGTGCGGTCCCCTGTGTGCGGTCTGTGTGCGGTCTGTGTGCGGTCCGTGTGCGGTCCGTGTGCGGTCTGTGTGCAGATATAGTGTACAGTCCCCTGTGTGCGGTCTGTGTGCAGATATAGTGTACAGTCCCCTGTGTGCGGTCTGTGTGCAGATATAGTGTACAGTCCCCTGTGTGCGGTCTGTGTGTAGATATAGTGTACGGTCCCTGTGTGCGGTGTGTGCGGTCTGTGTGCGGTCTGTGTGCGGTCTGTGTGCAGATATAGTGTAGTGTGCGGTCCCCTGTCTGTGTGGTCTGTGTGCAGTCTAGTGTGCGGTGTGTGCCCCTGTGTGCGGTCTGTGTGCAGATATAGTGCGGTCCCCTGTGTGCGGTCCTGTGTGCGGTCTGTGTGCAGATATAGTGTACGGTCCCCTGTGTGCGGTCTGTGTGCAGATATAGTGTACAGTCCCCTGTGTGCGGTCTGTGTGCAGATATAGTGTACGGTCCTGTGTGCAGATATGTGTGCGTCCCCTGTGTGCGGTCTGTGTGCGGTCTGTGTGCAGATATAGTGTACGGTCCCCTGTGTGCGGTCTGTGTGCAGATATAGTGTGCGGTCGGTCTGTGTGCGGTCTGTGTGCAGATATAGTGTGCGGTCCCCTGTGTGCGGTCTGTGTGCGGTCTGTGTGCAGATATAGTGTACGGTCCCCTGTGTGCGGTCTGTGTGCAGTGTATGTGTGCAGATATAGTGTGCGGTCCCCTGTGTGCGGCGTGTGCTGTGTGCGGTCTGTGTGCAGATATAGTGTGCGGTCCCCTGTCCCCTGTGTGCGGTCTGTGTGCAGGTGTACGTGTGTGCGGTCTGTGTGCAGATATAGTGTGCGGTCCCCTGTGTGCGGTCTGTGTGCAGATATAGTGTACAGTCCCTGTGTGCGGTGTGTGCGGTCTGTGTGCAGATATAGTGTACGGTCCCCTGTGTGCGGTCTGTGTGCAGATATAGTGTACAGTCCCCTGTGTGCGGTGTGCGGTCCCCTGTGTGTGTGCAGATGTGTGCGGTCCCCTGTGTGCGGTCTGTGTGCGGCGTGTGCGGTCCCCTGTGTGCGGTCCCCTGTGTGCGGTCCCCTGTGTGCGGTCTGTGTGCAGATATAGTGTACAGTCCCCTGTGTCTGTGTGCGGTCTGTGTGCAGATATAGTGTGCGGTCCCCTGTGTGCGGTCTGTGTGCGGTCTGTGTGCAGATATAGTGTACGGTCCCCTGTGTGCGGTCTGTGTGCAGATATAGTGTGCAGGTCCCCTGTGTGCGGTCTGTGTGCAGATATAGTGTGCGGTCCCCTGTGTGCGGTCTGTGTGCAGATATAGTGTGCGGTCCCCTGTGTGCGGTCTGTGTGATATAGTGTGCGGTCCCTGTGTGCGGTCTGTGTGCAGATATAGTGTACGGTCCCCTGTGTGCGGTCTGTGTGCAGATATAGTGTGCGGTCCGTGTGCGGTCTGTGTGCAGATATAGTGTACGGTCCCCTGTGTGTGCGGTCTGTGTGCAGATATAGTGTGTCCCCGTGTGCGGTCTGTGTGCGTGTACGGCTGTGGCGGTCTGTGTGCAGATATAGTGTACGGTCCCCTGTGTGCGGTCTGTGTGCAGATATAGTGTGCGGTCCCCTGTGTGCGGGTCTGTGTGCGGTCTGTGTGCAGATATAGTGTACGGTCCCCTGTGTGCGGTCTGTGTGCGGTCCGTGTGCGGTCTGTGTGCAGATATAGTGTGCGGTCCCCTGTGTGCGGTCTGTGTGTAGATGTAGTGTACAGTCCTGTGTGCGGTCCGTGTGCGGCCTGTGTGCGGTCCGTGTGCGGTCCGTGTGCGTGTGCGGTCCGTGTGCGGTCTGTGTGCGGTCTGTGTGCGTGTGCGGTCTGTGTGCGGTCTGTGTGCAGATATAGTGTACAGTCCCCTGTGTGCGGTCTGTGTGCGGTCCGTGTGCAGCCTGTGTGCGGTCCGTGTGCGGTCTGTGTGCAGATATAGTGTACAGTCCCCTGTGTGCGGTCCGTGTGCGGTCTGTGTGCAGATATAGTGTACAGTCCCCTGTGTGCGTGTGCCCGTGTGCGGTCCGTGTGCGGCCTGTGTGCGGTCCGTGTGCGGTCTGTGTGCAGATATAGTGTACAGTCCCCTGTGTGCGGCCCGTGTGCGGTCGGTTCCTGCTCACCGGTCTGGCGGGTGGGATCAGGGATCGGCTTGCGGTAGGAATCTTGGTGAGTAGTGGAATCGGTGATCTGCTCCAGCAGTTGTGTGGTCAGGATCCCGCGGTGTCCATGGCGATGGGCGTGTCCATCTCCAGTGAGGAGCACAGAGGGGGGGTCCCTGTCCAGGACTGCGGTGGCCCTCTAGAATTAAAGAAGAAATGATGATAAATTGGTGATGATGATGTCCCTCCCCCAATACGGCCATCTGTGGTACCTGGATCCCGCCATCACCATATATATATATATATATCTCCCTCTCCATGGTCCGGGCACCAGACCCCGCCCATCTACACCAGACCAGACCCCGCCCACCTACACCAGACCCCAGACCCCCATCTACATCAGACCCCGCCCATCTACACCAGACCCCGCCCATCTACACTGCGTTCCAGAAGATTCTGCAGGTGATATTTCCTCCTTTCCCTCAATAATTGATGTAAATAAGTCGGCAGAATTCTCAGGTGACAACCAGAAGAGGACAATTCACATTTATTGCACGAACCTCCTAATGATAACAGGATTTGTGTTCCGGATTATTCCGCTCAGGAAGTTTCCAAACACTTTCTAGGTTGTAAAGAACTGAAAATTGTCATTTGTTGTGTTTGCAGCAAATTTACTGAAATCAGAAGCTCCAAAAGAGGATTTTCTTTCCGTTTGGTAGTCCAGTCCAGCCTTGTGTAGGTCTACCATCTTGTCCCTGACATCCTTGGACAGCTCTTTGGTCTTTGCCATGGTGGAGAGCTTGGAATCTGATGGTTTGATGGCTCCTGTGGACAGGTGTCTTTTATACAGGTAACACAATGAGATTAGCAGCACTCCCTTTAAGAGACTGCTTCTAATCTCAGCTTGTTACCTGTATGAGAGACACCTGGGAGCCAGAAATCCTGCTGAATGATAGGGGATCAAATCCTTCTTTCCCTCATGAACATGCAGATCCGTCATCATTTGTTAGACGCATTTCTGCTGAATTTGTTGTTGTATTCTGTCTCTCAGTGTTACACCGAACATTCCATTGTTAGACCGATCGTTTCTGTGTGAGGGGCGAACATTCCATTGTTAGACCGATCGTTTCTGTGTGAGGGGCGATCATTCCATTGTTAGACCGATCGTTTCTGTGTGAGGGGCTAACATTCCATTGTTAGACCGATCGTTTCTGTGTGAGGGGCGAACATTCCATTGTTAGACCGATCGTTTCTGTGTGATGGGGCGAACATTCCATTGTTAGACCGATCGTTTCTGTGTGAGGGGCTAACATTTCCATTGTTAGACCGATCGTTTCTGTGTGAGGGGCGAACATTCCATTGTTAGACCGATCGTTTCTGTGTGAGGGGCGAACATTCCATTGCTAGACCGATCGTTTCTGTGTGAGGGGCGAACATTCCATTGTTAGACCGATCGTTTCTGTGTGAGGGGGAACATTCCATTGTTAGACCGATCGTTTCTGTGTGAGGGGGCGAACGTTCCATTGTTAGACCGATCGTTTCTGTGTGAGGGGCGAACGTTCCATTGTTAGACCGATCATTTCTGTGTGAGGGGCGAACGTTCCATTGTTAGACCGATCGTTTCTGTGTGAGGGGCGAACATTCAGCATCGGGGGGGGGGGGGGGGCAAATACGCATTTCCTGCACTGTATATGTACCCGGGTCCATATGTCCATGTACCTTATCGCTGTTCATAAACATATGTACCCTGGTCCGTGTGCCCAGGTACTGTATGACCATTCACATGTATGTATCCGGCTCATAAGACTCTACACGTGTCCTCAGAAAACCCTCCTCTCCATTGATAGGTGCTACCCATGGGACTTCCTCATCACATGTTACAGGGGACCTTCCATTTTCACTAAAAACAGGACATCAAGACTCCACTCTGCTCCTCAGGAGGTCTTCTTCTTCCCTATTGGACAGTGTTACCCATGTGACCAAATATGAAGACTCCACCCTGCTCCTCAGGAGACCTTCTTCCCATGTGACCAAATATGAAGACTCCACTGACTGCTCCCAGGTGGCCTTCACCTATTGGAAGCTACATGTGACCAAATATCAAGACTCCACTCTGGTCCTCAGGAAACTTCTTCTTCCCTATTGGACAGTGTTACCCATGTGACCAAATTGAAGACTGTCCACTCTGGTCCTCAGGAACCTTCTTCCCTATTGGACATGGGGCTACCCATGTGACCAAGGATGAAGACTGTACACTAGTCCTCGGGAGACCTTCTTCCCTAT